ATGAACCTTTCGTCGACCTTATGCATGGAACTTTTTAACACCATTCACATCATTATCACGACTAATTCAGATGTTTGTTTGTCCGTGACCATCATTCGGGGATCTATGTACACAGCAGCATCATTTCGTTTTGGATGTGTGTGTACAATAGGGTGCAGAGCAAATTTTGTATGTGTATGCGTGTTTAATAACAATATGTATGACCATTGAAATTGTTAAATTTTATCATATCTAATTGTTGCTGTAACAAAAACCGGAAAAAAGAAAGTTTTATTTTCAAAATTATCGCACTTCCTCTTTTCTATTATCATGTTTGTTGTTTCCTGTTCCATGAGATAAATATGGCATCACCCTCTTGCAATCTACAAATATACAAACATTTATTTGTATATCAAAGTAAATAGATGCTAAAACCCTTTCCCCATCCCAACGAAACCAATTTAGCAAAAAAAAACCAGTAAGGAAAGTAGTAAAGTCGGACGGGGCCGACTATATGATACCCTTCACCACTATGGGTATATAAAACAGGACTATTAAAAATTGGATGAAATAAAATATGTGATATTTATCTAAATATGAATCTACCTAGATCTATCCATAAAGTATGTAAATCGACTTCAAACAAATATAAATAGGTCATGTCTGTACTTCTAGAAAACGCAACTACGTAATTCTATGTTCAATTTTGTAAGTTGTGCCAACTTTGATGTCAATCTGACTAACATGAGGAGTTTGATGCCCAATTTACTTGAAATCGGGCGAAAATATATATGGAAGCTCTATCCAAATATTAAGCGATTTCAAACAAACTTGTCACAGGTTAGGTTATACTAATTTCAGAACGTTTTGTTCCTATCAGCCTATTGGATCCTTGGTTCGTCAATTACTTATAATCAATCTATAATAAAAGGGAGCTATACCTAAATCTGGACCGATTTTCAGTACGTTATGCCAAATTTCGTGCAAAGAAAGATGTATAGAGACTTTGGTGAACCATTTACATGAAATCGGACGAAACTATATATGGGAGCTATATAGAAATCTGGACCGGTTTTCTCGAAACTTGGCAGGCATTCATTCTAGAATCAATTCAGTACGTTATGCCAAATTTCGTGCAAATAGAAAGATATTTAGCGACTTTGGTGCACCATTTACATGAAATTGGACGAAACTATATATGGGAGCTATATCTAAATCTGGACCGATTTGTACGAAAAAAGGCAGACATCACTCTAGGCTCAATTCAGTGCGTTATGCCAAATTTCGTTCAAATCGAAAGATATATAGCGACTTTGGTGCATCATTTACATGAAATCGGACGAAACTATGGGAGCTATATATGGGAGCTATATAGAAATCTGGACCGATTTGCTCGAAACTTGGCAGACATCATTCTAGGCTCAATTAAGTACGTTATGCCAAATTTCCTGCAAATCGAAGTATATCTAGGGACTTTGGGGCACCATTTATATGAAATCGGATGAAACTATATATGGGAGCTATATCTAAATCTGGACCGATTTTCACGAAACTTGGCAGACATCATTCTAGACCTAAATGATTAGGCTGTACCAAATTTCGTGCAAATCGGAAGATATATAGGGACCGTTTACATTAAATCGGTTAAATATATATATGGGAGCTATATCTGAATCTGAACCGATTTTTCCCAATTTCAACAGGGTTCGTCCTTGGGCCGAATAAGTTACCTATGCCAAATTTCATCCAATTCGGATCATAAATGCGACCTGTACTTTGTTTACAATTTAACATGGACAGACAGACGGACGGACGGACATGCATAAATCGACTTAGAATGTGATTCTATGCATGTTCTCAAAAGGAACCATGTGTCTATCTCGTTTTCTTTTGCCTGTTACAAACATATGCACAAAGACATAATACCCTGTACCACAGTGTGGTGAAGGGTATAAAAACAAATTCATTACACAATAAAAATTCTTTCAGAATGAGGTCATTTTGACCGATTTTAGGCAATACAAGTATATACACAATTCCAGGCTTTCTGGTGTTAATATACAGCCAGTAGATATATATTCTTTGGATTTTGTATGTCAAGACCTGTTTATGGACGACTCATATCAAAAGTAAAATCTAAACCAGTGAGCGGAGCAGTATAGTCGGTCGGGGCCGACCATATGATACCCTACACAACTTCCAAGAAAATCTAACTTTGTGTGGTTCTATATTCTGAGTCTGGCCAATATTTCGCGATATTTACACCCTCTTGACTGACTAGAAGTCAACAAATATTACTAATATTCAATACAGCCCTTTTAATTACTTGTCCAGATTCCTTTCACCGTGGATTGTGTTGTGATGTTCCGCTTTCAATTGTGGCCTATAGATCGACTCGAAAAAAACACACACACAAAGAAATTAAGTTTTAGGTCCACTTCATCCCAAAATTATTATCCGATCATCACCGCAAATTATAGGCGTTGTCCTTGACCATAACCGGAACCTCATGGAAATTTTCAAAGCGATCAGCGCTATATTTCCGCTCTACAGTGTGGTAATGAGTTACTAAATAATATCTGAATACGTAAGCACCTGTAAATATTTAAATGTAATTCTCATATCCGAGCACATACGACAATATAATTGGTATCAATTTAAAGGCCAACAACTCCTCTTGGATATAATATCAATTTCTCGGGTCTATGTCCTTCAGGAGTAAATACATATGCCATAGAATACAAATTCTGTAATTTTTCACACAAAAGTATGGGTCCATTTGACCCGCTAAATATTGACCAATCTTTATCAAAACAGGCATGCTTATTCTTTGGCCCGATCCCCTTCTCCATGCAAAAATTCGCGATGTTTAGGCCATAATTGCGGCCTCTGGAGCGACCAGGAAATCAGACAAAAAATAAGTTTTTGGTCCATTTCATCCCCTAAATATTAGCCGATCTTTTCCAAAAACAATAGGGGTCTTCATTAGCCAGAACCCATCCTACATGCAAAATTTCGTGAAGATTGGTCCATAACTGTGGCCTGTATCGTGTTTACAAATTATAATGGACAGACGGACGGACACACATGTCTAGATCAACTCAGCTAGTCGAGATATGACGATCGGTATACTTAAAGGTAGGTCTAGGACCAATATTTCGCGGCGTTACAAACTTTTGGGGCTGCACAAAGCTATAATACCCTGATAACATAGTTGTGTAGGGTATAAAAATTCAATTTTTTTGTAAAGTTATGAGATTTTCAATGTACAGAAGAGGGCAAATATGTGTACAGCACTAATTTGTGTATACAGTCTACATTATTTAAATCGCTTCGTATTTGAATCGTACGAATTCTGCTATCAGAATTATTTTTGATTCTTGGAAAAAAGAATGTAGAGAAAAAAAAATAAATGCATTTTCCGTCGATTTTCCATTTGGTTACTTGATATTGGACTTTTATTTTTCAGAAATAATGTACTGGATCTCCCGAATGCAAGGATGTAGCGATGTCAAATTTTGTTCATATCTTACTTAAAATAGTTTCATTAAATCTGGGAAAAGAAAATTGTTCTATGATTACGGAAAAAATTCGATAATCAAAGGGTTAATTAGGTCTAGAATTTTGTGTCTTATGTTTCCTGAAAATCTATTCAGATTTAGATACAGCTTTCATATTTATTTTCGTCCGATTTAATGTAAATGGTGCACCAAAGTCCCTATATATCTTTCGATTTACACGAAATTTGGCACAGTGTACTGAATTGAGTCTACAATTATGTGTGTTAAGCTTCCCGAAAATAGATTTGGATATAGCTCCCATATATATTTTCGTCCGATGTAATGTAAATGTTGCACACAATTTTGCAAAGCGTACTGAATTAAGTATAAAATGGTGTGTGTTAAGTTTCGGGAAAATCGCTTCAGATTTAGATATAGCTCCCATATATAGTTTGGTCCGATTTTAAGTAAATGATGCATCAAAGACCCAAAGTTAGGCCGATTGACGCAAAATTTTGCACAACGAATATATATATATATATATATATACATTCTCCCGATTTTAAGTAAATGATGCACCAATAACTCATATCGTAATGGCCGATATGCACAAAACATATTCGATATAGCTTTTATATTTATTTTCGTCCGATTTTAAGTGAATGTTGCACCAAACTCCACATGTTTATCTGATATTTACTTAAATAATCAAAGGGTGTCCGATTGATATTTGCTTTAAACTTATTTACATAATTTTGTCCCATTGTAACTCTATATCTGGCCAGATAAAAATTTAGTATAGGTTGCAGAATGACATGTTTATGGGTACTATTTCATGATAATGGTCCTTCAAAAATGCGACGTCTGTTAGGATTCATCTGTTGAATATACCCGAAGTGGTCAAGGTTATCATATAGTCGGCCCCATCCGACTTTACTATTTTCCTTACTAGTTAATATTTAACATGAATCAAGGTACTGTGATGCAAAACGTTGGGTAGAATTATCGTTAAATGCCCATTCTGTGGAATATTTTCATTTGAAGTAACTACCAGTATACCTATCGTGGAAAGTATCCATAGTTCGGTCCTGCCGAACTTAACGCCTTTTTCATTTTGTTTTTTTTTTTATCTATGATAAATGGGGATTTAGCTCAGCAGTAAGTTCAAGTTTACAGCTGTACTTCTAGAGCACACCCAACAATTGTAATCGAAATTTTCTGATTTATTTTATACATTTTCCATATATTAACTTATTTATAAAAACTTAACACAAACCGCAATCTATTTATTCTTTAACTTACAGTTCAACATAATGACTAACATTTCCAGAAAATTCAACATCGTATTGTAAAAGAAGAAACAACAGATATATAAAACGATAATATTAACATTTAATCAGCATTCTTTGACATTGTGTGTTGCAGAGCTGTAGTGTTTTCCGATCAATACAATTTTTTGAAAAGCGTAAAAAATTTGAAGAAATGAAATTAGTTATTTTTCTTGTCTTCGGTTTATATCAGTATGGATTTTGCGGTTTGGAACAATTGAACGATGTTGAAATGGTGGCAAAACTTTTTACTATTTTATCTAACCTGGGTGAAGCGACTACTGCAATTGAAGCTGACATATTTGACCTGAAACAAACGTATGATACTGCCATTCGCATATTTAGTATTTCATTATAACGTATTATTTCTTCTATTATCATAGTTTCGAGAATGTGACGAAACAGTTTAATGACATTTCGCCGCAAATTAACAACTTTATGGAAAATATAGCACTAGAAATCGATGGTTACGAACGAAATTTGAATGCATCGATGGAAAGTTTTGCTGATTTCAATCGAAGGTAAATATTTAGAAGAAACATGTAAAGACGTCGCTCTGTTCAGCTGAGCCACACTTTTTATACTCTCCACCATGAGCTGGACATTTAAAATACATGTAACCTTTTGGTACCATCGTTAATGTTTGGTAGGAAAATATGGCAACCAATGACAACAACAACAAAACCAATGACGGGTTAATAACTTGGATACAATCCAATGGAGTGTGACACTAAAAAAGTTACAATATGAATTAAAACTCGAGACTAATGGACCAGCATCATAAAAAGCATATCATAATCATAAAAAGCATTACAATTATTTTTTTATTTTTTAATTAATTGATTTTAACCCAACAATGTGTTTTTAATTTAGAATGAGCAACCACAAATTCAACCTGAATGCAACGAGAAATCATCTTACAAAAACTGAGAACACTATTTCAAATTTTGTGAAAGATTGGGAGGATCAATTTAGGATTGATTTGAACAATAGGTAAGCCAAAAACTGCAACTACAGCAAAAAAAAAAAAAAAAAAACAAAAAAACAAAAAAAAACCAGTGAGCGGAGCAGTATAGTCGGACGGGGCCGACCATGCGATACCCTACACAACTACCACGAACTCTAACTTTCTGAGGATGTTTATTCCGAGTCTGAGTAATATTTCGTGATATTTGCCCCCTCTTGTCCGATTAGAGGTTAACAACATCTCTTCCTTACTTTTTTCGAATATTCAGTACAACCCTTCTATTTACTTGTCCGGATTACCTTCACGGTGGGTTGTGTTGTGATTTTCGGATTATACTCTACTCGAAAACACACAAAAAATTATGTTCTTCGTCCATTTCATCCCAAAATTTTAATCTGATCATCACCGGAAATTGTAGGCGTTGTTCTTGACCATAACTGGAACTTCATGAAAAATTTCAAAGCCATCAGCGCGATATTTCTCCCTCTAATGTGGTAATGGGTTACTAAATAATATCTGAATACGTAAGCACCTGTAAATATTTGACTGTAACTCCCACATCTGAGTAGATACATCACTATATTTGGTGTCAATTTAAAGGCCAACCACTCCTCTTGGATATGCTATCATCTCCTGGGGTCTACATCCTCCAGGAGTAAATATATATGCCATAGAATACAAATTTTGTCATTTTTCACACAAAAGTCAGGGTCCATTTGACCCGCTAAATATTGAGCGATCTTTATCAAAACATGCATGCTTATTCTCTGGCCCGATCCCCTTCTCCATGCAAAAATTCGCGGTGTTTGGGCCATAATTGCGGCCTCTAGAGCGACCAGAAAAACCGACAAAAATTTAGTATTTGGTCCATTTCATCCCCTAAATATTAACCGATCTTTTCCAAAAACAATAGGGGTCTTCATTGGCCAGAACACATCCTACATGCAAAATTTCGTGAAGATTGGTCCATAACTGTGGCCTGTATCGTGTTTACAAATTATAATGGACAGACGGACGGACGGACGGACGGACGGACGGACACACATGTCTAGATCGACTCAGCTAGTCGAGATATGACGATCGGTATACTTAAAGGTAGGTCTAGGACCAATATTTCGCGGCGTTACAAACATTTGGGGCTGCACAAAGCTATAATACCCTGACAACATAGTTGTGTAGGGTATAAACATTAATTGGTTTCCTTTTTGCAGATCTCAGGAAATGTCAGGCTTTAGTAATAATACTTTGAAACACTTAAATGATAACAATGAAATGTTGAAGGAACTGGAAAAAGAGATACAAGAAATCAAGGCAAAGGTATTTAAAAATGATGTTCGAAACTACATATTAATAAATAACTTTTTTTAGCTTAAGAACTAAATCGGACCCAGTTCTGACCGAATTCAACAATCGTTCGACATGATTAAAATAAAGTAACTGCTTTAAATATGTTTTATTTACAATTCTAATTACAGCAATAAAATGACAACTTACAATAATGAGTATGTTATAAATAATGTATTAACAATTCTGTGAGTGTAGCATTATTACTTAATAATTCACTGGAGTTCCAATCTGCTCGAGTCGCGAATTCATTAGAGGAACTTCGGGTAATGTGTACTACCATTTTATTTGTTTGATATTTTTTTGCGTAACAAAGGTCAAAGGTAAAAATAACGATTGAAAAAGCGTTAAGTTCGGCCGGAGCGAATTTTGGATACCCTCCACCATAGGTATACTGACCGGTTCTAAAAATGACAATATACGGAACATGCCAAAAAGTGGACCTATACCGACTTTTCTACAAACCGATTATTTAAACCCTAATGTACACAAAATACAAATTCCAACAATTTTTAATGGATACCGTCAGCCTTATGGCTAATGAGGGTGTATACACTGTGATAGAGTGAAAATGTGCCTCATCGAAATATTGCTTCTAGAACTCATGTTTCTTTGGACCAAAACCGTTTGAGAAAATTTGGATTTCATCCGAACTTTGCACATCTTATTATTTCTTCCAAACTTAGTTCAAATTCGAAGATGTGGAATATCGGTCCACTCCGTCTTGTACCTCCCACACAAAGAGTAAAAATTTTCAATATTTATAAATCCAATATCAGGCGAATGGAATTTCCGTTTTGAACCAAACTTTGCACAATTTTGACCCTCTGTGGGGGAGGTACCAGAAGGAGTGGACCAATGGGTCCCATCTTCATTGGCCATAAGGCTGAGGGTATAAAAAATATATTTATCATTTTTAAAAGGATGATTTTTTAACCAATAAGAACTCAAAATACTAATAAAAATTTTACTTAACGGAATTAAAAAAAATTGCTAAGTTTTTATAATCCCCAGATTAAAGACAGGGAAGTGTCTAATATTTTTATACCCTTCACCACTCTGTGGTACAGGGTATTATGTCTTTGTGCATATGTTTGTAACAGGCAAAAGGAAACGAGATAGTCACATGGTTCCTTTTGAGAATATGCATAGAATCACTTTCTGAGTCGATTTATGTATGTCCGTCCGTCCGTCTGTCCGTCCGTCCGTCCGTCCGTCTGTAGTTGTTAAATTGTAAACAAAGTACAGGTCGCATTTATGATCCGATTTGAATGAAATTTGGCACAGGTCACTTATTTGACCCATGGACGAACCCTATTGAAATTGGGAAAATCGGTTCAGATTTAGATATAGCTCCCATATATATATTTAACCGATTTAATGTAAACGGTCCCTATATATCTTTCGATTTGCACGAAATTTGGTACAGCCTAATCATTTAGGTCTAGAATGATGTCTGCCAAGTTTCGAGAAAATCGGTCCAGATTTAGATATAGCTCCCATGTATAGTTTCGTCCGGTTTCATGTAAATGGTGCCCCAAAGTCCCTATATATCTTTCGATTTGCACGAAATTTGGCGTAATGTCCTGAATTGAGCCTAGAATGATACCTGCCAAGTTTCATGAAAATCGGTCCTGATTTTGATATAGCTCCCATATATAGTTTCGTCTGATTTCATGTAAATGGTGCCCCAAAGTCCCTAGATATCCTTCGATTTGCACGAAATTTGGTGCAGCCTAATCATTTAGGTCTAGAATGATGTCTGCCGAGTTTCGTGAAAATCGGTCCAGATTTAGATATAGCTCCCATATATAGTTTCGTCCGATTTCATGTAAATGGTCCCCCAAAGTCGCTATATATCTTTCGATTTGCACGAAATTTGGCATAACGTACTGAATTGAGCCTAGAATAATATCTGCCAAGTTTCGTGAAAATCGGTCCAGATTTAGATATAGCTCCCATATATAGTTTCGTCCGATTTCATGTACATGGTGCCCCAAAGTCCCTAGATATCCTTCGATTTGCACGAAATTTGGTACAGCGTAATCATTTAGGTCTAGAATGATGTCTGCCAAGTTTCGTGAAAATCGGTCCAGATTTAGATATAGCTCCCATATATAGTTTCGTCCAATTTCATGTAAATGGTTCCCCAAGGTCCCTAGATATCCTTCGATTTCCAGGAAATTTGGCATAACGTTTTTAATTGAGCCCAGAATGATGTCTGCCAAGTTTCATGAAAATCGGTCCTGATTTAGGTATTGCTCCCATGTATAGTTTCGCCCGATTTCATGTAAATGGTGCTCCAAAGTCGCTATATATCTTTCGATTTGCATCAAATTTGGCATAACGTACTGAATTGAGCCTTGAATGATGCCTGCCAAGTTTCGTTTAAATCGGTCCAGATTTAGATATAGCTCCTATATATAGTTTCGACCGATTTCATGTAAATGGTGCACCAAAGTCGTATAACGTACTAAATTAGTGGGATAACGTACTGAATTAAGCCTAGAGTGATGTCTGCCAAGATTCAAGAAAATCGGTCCAGATTTAGATATAGCTCCCATATATAGTTTCGTCCGATTTCATGTAAATGGTGCCCCAAAGTCCCTATATATCCTTCGATTTGCAGGAAATTTGGCATAACGTACTTAATTGAGCCTAGAAGTACGTTATTGCCAAGTTTTATGAAAATCGGTCCTGATTTAGATATAGCTCCCATATAATGTTTCGTGCGTTTTCTAGAAGTACAGACATAGCCCAACGGATGACCTATTTATATTTGTTTGAAATCGATTTACATACTTTATGGATAGATCTAGGTAGACTCACATGTAGATAAATATAACATATTTTATTTCATCCAATTTCATGTTGATAGTCCTGTTTAATATACCCATAGTGGTGAAGGGTATCATATAGTCGGCCCCGTCCGACTTTACTACTTTCCTTACTGGTTTCTTATTGTTTATATTTTTTACATTATTGACAATCATACAAAACGTTGTTATTATTTGCTTTCGGTGGGAGGGCTCTCGAGGTTCCCTTTTTGAAAAATTAGAGCGCGGACAAGATGTTCGAAAAAGAGTAAGTGTTTACTCTAAGAGTGAAACATAAAATTTATTTTTTCCGATTTGTGTGCTCGTTTGTGTTTCTAGAGTAGCAAACGGTTTTCGAAGTTTTTGTACTGATCTGGTCATATAAGAAATGTACGTTATACAATAAAAAATTAGTTTGATTATTTAATATTTTACAAGAGGTCAAAATGACAGCTTTTAGTCATTATAGGTATAGCACATGTGAATACGGGAATGAAAGAGGGGGAGAAGCAGCTACTATGATTAATAAACGTAGTTCTATGTGGTACAAAAAGTCTTCAAATTTTAATAAGCTGTGTCATAATATACACAATTTTTTTTTGTACTTGAAATTGAAAAACTGTCAAAATGACCGCCTTCGGCAATCTAGTGTTAAATATAAGCTCTAAGCTGCATGTGGGCAACATTGGACCATAAAGATTAAGTACACTATGCTAAAATTCGTGCAAATCGATAGATATATAGGGACTTTGGTACACCATTTACATTAAATCGAACGAAAATATAATCGAAAGATATATGTGGGCTTTAGTGCACCATTTACATTAAATCGGAAGAAAATATGTATGGGGGATATTTCCCAATTTCAATAGGTTTCGTCCTTGGGCCAAATAAGTGACCTATGCCAAATTTTATCCAATGCGACAGACGAACGGACATGCATAAATCGATTTAGAAAGTGACTCTATGTATATTCTCAAAAGGAACCATGTGTCTATCTCGTTTCCATTTGCCTGTTACAAACATATGCACAAATACAAAATACCCTGTACCACGGTGTGGTGAAGCAGGGACGAATGCAAATTATTTTCGTTTTCTAAATAAATTTAGTTTTACAACAGAAAATGTTTAAATCCATGAGAATTCCCAAAAACCTCTAAATAAAATTCAGTAATCTTTGCCAATGTATAGGGTAAATCCTGCAGTTTTCGGCCCGGGCCCCTCCGAAAATATTTTTTTCTCAAAATAAATTTAGTTTTACAACAGAACATTTTTAATTCCATTACAACTCTGAAAATTTTTAAAAAAAATCCAAACTCTTTGACAAAGTATAGGGTAAATACAACAGTTTTCGGCCAGGGATCCCTCGGAAATTATTTTTTTCTCTAAATAAGTTTAGTTTTTCAACAGAAGAATTTTTATTCCGTTAGAATTCTCCAAATTTCTAAGAAATATTTCAGTAATTTTTGAAAATCTAGACTATATTTAAATATTCATTTTAAATGACGGGAAAGAATATATGAATATACTATTTAGGATTTTCGGTTAGTATTTGTGGTGGAAGGTAAAAAATGTGGCAAAAAATCAAACAACAAAATTAATTCGGCTGAGCACGGCTAGGGTTCGAACTTAGGTCCTCAGAGCAACACAAAATGTTATCAGACCACTTATCGTTCTGAGCCATCAACACACTTCCTAAACGGTTGCGCAAAATCATATGTATATCACGGAAGCAATTGTAGGGGTGTGGATAAATCATCCATCGCTATAACAAAAATCTGCTTTGAAAGGGACTGTTTCTAGAATGAAAACAACTGTCGAACCTTGACAAATTTGAATTTAATTCGCATATGCAAAGTTCGCATCAGGGCGAAATAAATACAAGCTATCAACATACGACCTTTGTAAAGTCACATAGCCCAATATGCATGATGAGCCACTTAACCAACGGCGAAACGCGTCGCATAATGGTGGGTACGTGAGTTCTACTCCTGGCTTTCCTTTTCATTGCGAAACTTAGATCATTAAGCTCGACTCGAAAGACTAAAAATATCTCACATAAAATTTAATTCAATGGATCACTACCCTTACAAGGCAAAAATTCAAACATCAAAAGTTTCGCCCGATTTTATGTAAACGTCGCACAAAACTGCCAAG